GAGGAAGTGAGCTGCTGGCTGGGGTTTGCTTGGCATGAGCTGGTGGGGGGGCAGGTGGATTGGGCCCCCTGCCACCTTCTATCCTGCCCCAGGCCACCATCCTCCAGCTTTGATCTGGGCAAAACCCCAGCTCACAGCTCACTCCCCCTACCTTCTTCCCCCTCCCTTCCTGCAGACAACACTGGAGCTGGGAGGGGGGTGCGGTGGGGCTAAGGGGAGAGCGTGCAGGGAAGCTTCTCAGCTCAGTCAGCTCCAAAATGGAGCTCAGTCCCCTCTCTTACCCCCAGAGGGGAGTGGGGCACTCTAACTCATGGCACTTTATGTAAAGCACCATGAATTAGAGCAGGGGCCTGCACCCTAAGCATCTGATGATATCTCCTATGAACAGCTTAATGGAATTCACAGACACAGGCACAAAAATCAGAACAGAGTCTACATTTATATTACATTAGGTCAGGCAGGAGTCACAGGGAATATTAGTCTTCATACTTCAGGACAAATCTAATCATTGCCTGACATCAGGAAGAAATTATGCTATGCTGTTGCACAGATGTCCAGGGTGTGGGGTTTTTTTAAATTCTGTATGCTTAAGCACCTGATCCAGGGGAATGAAAGAGACAAGATGGAAGACTAGACACATCATTAATCTTTCCTGGGATAGGTCTTCCTATCCCTGGCTCCATGCTAATGCTGTGCTAATACTTTTACAGATAAAAAGATTCACGCCCCAAAAAGAAGCTCCCCAGTCAGGCATGAACTGACACAGTGGCTACTTGAGAAATACTTTCTTTTTGTTCTGAGCTCACCTTATTGTCTTTACCCACAAACTTAAACACAGGGACCTGGAAGTGCTTGGCAAGATGATCCTTCGACGTGTACTGTTTCACGGAGTCATCAGAAACACAGCTGAAGAAAACAGAGGGATAAGTTCTCATAGCTTTCACAGATGTGGAAAAAAAAAGCATCCCAACACATTTAATTAGAGCAAAGAAGGGAGGGTTTAGCTTTCTTGAGTTAGAATCCACATTATTTTCTCTTTGGCCACAACAGAACATTGAAAAATAAAGGAAAAAACCAACAGTGGTGACTGATAGCATCTCCAGACAAAGTGCATCTCTGCAGCAAAAAATCAACAGCATACACATGACAAATAACATGCAGGGTCCTTGGCAGGAGGATTGCCAAAGAATTGCAATTTAGCTTATCCTCGGTTCACCTCTCTGGGTAGCAGAGTCTGCAACGGTTGATAGAACCTGTGCAGATCTGAGAGATGATTCACATTTTTTATTTTTTTTAAAAGAAAAAGAATTTTAATGTTAAAGGAACATTGAAAAGAGAAAAATAATTTACTAGAAATGGAAAAAAATCTATTTTGCGCATTACTCAGACAACTTGAATTAATAAATGAAAAACCTTTCAGCTCTAATTTTGCTTTTTCCCATTCTTATTTAAGCTTTTAGTTACTTTTTGCAATTTTTCAGCTTGGACTGTGAAATTACACTGATCAGGGTCATCCTGTTTTGTCAAATTCACAGTTAGAGTCTCATGCCCTAGCATTAGCACAGTATAGCGCTAATATACTGTATTAGTGCTCACAGCAATGCAGGGCAAGGGTCAATTGATTTGCAGAGCTTCAGTTTGGGGCCAGAACTAGCTTTTTAGAGCTAGATATAGAATTAACAAGAACGCTACATTTTTTTTAACTTAATAACAGTTATTAGTGATTATTGAAATGCCCTGTCCAGTTAAGAAGGCATGCACTCTATTCTGTTATAGTACTGCAGTACAACATCAATATAGCATATCTTTCCAGCAAGCTAACCACAGGAACATGGATTTTGAATATTATAAAATAAGCGGAGGTGGAAAGAAGTGGAAAGGATGGAGAGGATAGAGTAACAGAACATGAAATGCTATAGCTTTACTTTGGAAGTAATCTTTAACAGAAAATTTCCATAAGAAATATTTAATGATGATATATTTAATACATTAAAAAGGAAAACAAGACATATTTAATTCTGGTTATTCTGGAATGCTCATTTAAAAACCTCTGAGTTTAGCCAATTAAATTCCTGCAGAATGTTGCTAACCTTACTGGAATAAACTGGATACAGGAAGGTATACTGTATGGTAGAGCTGTGTGTTGGAATGATCTATTGTATGTGACTAAGGCAATGAAGAAAACAGGAAAATAGATAATAGTAATAGTGATTGTAACAATAAAACAACAACATTAATCATAAGAATAAAACTACTACTACTAAAAAAATCAGTGTGATATAATTCAACGGTTAGTGATTTCTCTGGCTGCTTCTCAGCAAGTACAGGCCATGTTTTGAGGGTGTTCCCTACTTGTAATGCAAAATACCTGAACAGGAATTCAGTTTATAACTCCTAGAATGGCCCAAGAGGCTAATATAAAGAGGTATCCAAGGGGAATTTATAAATAATGTACATCTGGAAAAAGCAACATTGAAATGGCTCCACGGGGAAACTTCAGATGCCACTGGATTGTTTTATCATGAGATCACCTTTAAAGGCACAGCTCCTGACTGATTAATTTCCCTTTTTAAGAATTTTTCTTCCAATGAGGGCTGAACTCAGAAGCCATATGCTCAACTAAGTGGCATTTCTCTGCTGTATGCAAGTATTATCATAATTTTTGAATGCTGCATCCAAACATTCCCAACTGTATCAGTGGCCAGAACCGAACTGACTTTGAAGAAAATAGGAACACTGAAATGAGAAAGGGGGGGCACACAGAACCCCTGCTACCTAAACAGCTCAGCCACAGCTTGAAGCATCTCTACATTCAAACTGGATGACAGTACCATTAATGCCCTCCAGCACAAAAATACGACTATAGGACTAGATAGACCGCTTGGGCCCTCCAAGTCCAGTTGTCTACTTAACCACATCATATCATTCCTCTAAGTTCTCTTATCCCATCTCTGCCCATCTTTGCAATATAGGTTAACATGTTGATACACTAACAACTGGAATGACCTATCTTCCCCAACAAACAGTAATCGGGACATGAAGGGAATGGGGATATACCCAGAACGCATGGCATGGAGGGACAATAGGAGACACTATTATAGAGGAGGGGAAAATGGGGTAGACGCAGCCCCTTCTTGGAGGGGTGATGTTGGTACGAATTTTTGGGTGTATAAAGGTACATACCGAACTCCTAGCATGGGGGAGAGAACAGGGAATCCTTGAATGGGGGGGAAGTACTCACAAACTGGGAAAGGGAATTTGGGGAGTTGCAAGGAGACTCTGAAATGGGAGGGGAGGGGACAGTGGCAACAGGGAGCATGTAGGGTGGATAGGAGGAATGCAAAGAGTCTCTGGTGCACACTATGAACTTGACCTATGGGAGTCATATAGACCATAGCCCACTAGTTATAATGATGGTGCCACCTTTAAAGAAGAGGCCATTTACTGATTGAAAAGGAATCACTTTAACATTGATAGGCTTGGTTAAATCAAGACCTCCCCCTGCTCCTTAAACATCCTAGAGCAGTGGTGTTCAACCTGCAGGCACATGTCATCCAGCCCATGGAGTTCCTCACAAGGACAGAGACATTTGGTGGTGGAGGAGCAATGCCAGCATTAATTGAGTCTCTGTTTTAGATATACTCATCCTTCAGGAGGGAGGCAATGCCTTTTAATTCTTCAGAGCAACCTCTCCCCTACTGCTATCACACTTAATCCCATATCCTTTCTGTGAAGTTTTAATGCCCTCTAGAGGATGCAAATAACAGAGGGTTTTTGGTACCTCTGAACCAGGAGGAGAACAGCTTAGGTATCTCTGCATGATGTTGTTTTGCATCGTGGACTTCCACTCAGTGTTTGCTTACGCAACAAACCTCCTGGATCCACTACACTCATGTTACAAAAACAACTATTAAGGCAGAATCGAGACATTGCTGTACAAATCTCCCTTCTCTACATTCAGCCCTTGCTCCTTCTACCTGAACTATTACCCACCACTTTCCATAATATTGGAAGTATAGGAAATAAAGGACTGTTTGCAAACCCAGGAACATGAGTGCCTACTCTTTGCAGGAGGCCTGACAAGTCATTTATTCCATTATGAATGGGAACAATAAAATAAAGAAACATACTAGAGTACACAAGTCAGAACAGAGGTGACTAGTGTGGGAAGACTACCAATTGTTATAGTAATACTCATTTATGTTAGACTGAGGTGAAAATGCATTTATTTGGGTAATGCAAACACAGGACCTTCCTGCTTGCTTTACAAAAATCTGTCTGTGGAACTTTTGTCTCAGTAGCTGTTGTGGTGGACAGTTTAACCTAGCAGCTGAACAATGTTGCATAAACCTCTGCTCTCCTCGCCAGCTAATAGACAGCCAGTAAACTGGACTCAGCTAATTAGCAGAGTCCTTGAATGTGTGTATCCTGATTCTACATTGTTAGGCAATGCCAAAATGCAGACATATTGCGGTGACTCCACAACATGACATCATCATGTCAGCACCAAACTTATTCTAAAAGGTCAAGAAAGGTAGAAACTGGAACCATCTTATGAAATGTGTTAGAACAAAAGCCAAATTATTTCAAACCTATTTCATAAAATCATTATTACACATCCTTTTAGAGATCTCTTAGATCAGTTCAAAAGCTCCTTTTTAATATATCCTGAAGAAAACACCCCATAACAATTGCCAGAAAATGATCCCCCAAATTAAGTGACAAGTAACAACCTGTTTCTCTAGTGCCAGAGCACTAGATGGTGGGTACAAGATCTAAATGATCTATGCACAACCTTGGAAAATCCTTTGGCTTACATGGTAAAAATGGCTGCAAATGGAATATAAAAGAGGTTTGATTCCAGCTTTGGCTGCAGCAATAAGCAAGCTTCACAGAGTAAATCCAGCCATAGGGATTTCTGCCAATTGATTAAATACCCTTTGGTATTTGCCAGCCTGCTGGCAGACGAGAAGGGTCAAAGTGGCTTTCTAGAGGAGCCAAAGTTAATTATCCATCATGATAGTTAGGGAGACAGGTGTTCTATGTTGGCTAATTTACTATCAGTCACTTACAATTTCCCTCTCTCTGGTCCTTCCAGAGCCTTTTTTATGAGGTGAGCACTTTTACTGACAGCAGTAACTCTGAACCATCACTCTAGATTTTATCTGACAGTCAGCTGCCTGTGGAAAAGTGAATGCCATGAGAGACCCAGGTGGGCCTGGGCCTAATGTCAGACTTACAATAGAGGTACACCTATGTCACTTACCCATCTTGAATTAAGTAGTACTTCAAGATCTCATCAATTTTTGATGTAGGAGTAGCAAAGCAGCTCTCTACCAGCATTTCCAGTCCATTCACATGTACTAAGGGTTCAATCCCAAAATACAGTGAATCTCGAAGCTTCAGGGTAGGGAGAGCATCCCTGTAGGGCTCATCAAAGTCTTTGTTTTTGAAGATCTCAAGGGTGAAGGGAAAGATGCCCCGGTTGCGGCTCATGATTTCCAGTGGGGAATTCTTGAGATTGGGGACATAGCCCTCAGAGATGGTGTACCGGCGGGGAAACTCACAGGTCACAGGAATCAGCAGCTTGCTGGTGCGGATGATGATGTCCCCATTACTGCCAGGCATCTGCTTTGGCAAGCCAGTCACCAGATTGGTAGCAATGATTTTATCATTTACCACCTGCAGCAGAGCAAAGTCAAAGTTTGGGGGTGAGGAAATAATCACAATACTAAACAACTGGACATCAACAAAACAGGACCCTTATCTATGATTCTGAACATGTGCCAGAATCTGAGCTTCACTTGCTATTCCTGTTCTAAAGCTAGACAAAGCATGGCCAGTAAAATTACACCCTGTAGCCTGCACTGTCACCTTTACTATAATCTAGGGGTACAACAATCAATTTTGATCCAAGTGTTATGTTGGGACATGTAGTCTCCATGGGCTGCAGTTCTGTATTAAAGATTGGTGCAGCATAATCTACTGCACTATTCACATTCCATTACGTGGAGCCTTCTGGCTCTTGAAAAGTTGCCAGTTCAGCCTTCAACAAGCATAATACGGGCACTGCTTCTGTATTCCATTCTGACTATAGTCAGTGAACAGGGTCAACTGCTAGATGACAGGGGATAAATCTATCCGTTTACCTCAAGGACCAAAGCTAAGGTCCTATATGAATTAAGCAGCCTCCGCTCAATTCTCAATATTTAGAAATACACATTACTAGAATTGAGCCAGCGATAGATGCAGGACAAAGTCTCACAGACCACTTATAGCAGCCTTTCCTGCCTTGGGTTGAGCTAATTTCCTTCAAAGCAGAGAAGAGTCTCTTACTGCAGATACCATGAAATAATTTATGGCTAAAATCCCTAGAAAAGGCCTACCCCTTTCAGAAATAGGCTTTAGACTAGTTCAAGAAAAAATATTCACGCAAAAATTAAAATTGGCAATTTGGAAGATGGCCCCCAGCAGCATCATTCATCTATGCCTTACTGAGTTGTAATCTCTCCCCTCTACATTCACCAATATAATTACTTAATTTCAGCTTAATATATCATTTGATTCATGTCCTGTTTCCTCTTTTTCTGACCTGGCAGCACTGTAGAAGTAGGATTGTTTTCTACCCGTCCTTACTTTACAGTGCCATCTCTAGCCACCAAGGTGGTAATAAGGGTTCCAGATGAAGAAGGCATCCCATCCTTGGAGAAAGGATTGTGCCTGCCTTGAGGGCCTTAGGTATGTGAAGATGAATGAAAAGTTGAGTGGAAGCATACACATGAATACACAAATTCATACTCATACAAGCATATGGGATACACATGAAACCAGCATCTTCATTTCTTCTCCATATGGAACATTAGGACATTGTATTAAGCTAATAAAAAAGGCATTATGAAGTTAGGAATCAGACTGACTGATAGAGTTTCCATCTGTGCAATAAGAAACTTCGTGAAGGACAACTGAACTGGATGCCTGAACAGCTCAGTCCATTCAGGCAGTTTCATACCTCACGTAAAACACCAATGGTGAGAAGGGGGCTAATGTACATTTAGGGCTTGATCCAGCAGCCCTTCCTCATATACACTGTCCAGTGACTTCAGCAGACCCCATTCATGTTAAGGCCTGCAGGACTGGGTGTACAATACCTTCTGATGAAGTGGTGCAAAGTATATCCCTCAACTGAGCCCTTATTTGTCCTTTATGTATAGGTAAATCATGATGATACGTACATCTACAACAGTGCCACAGGACTTTAAGGAGAAGTTGATGTTGACATGAGTACCATTGGATACTCCTTTGCAGGAAGCATTGATGAGGGAAAGATCCAGTCCTCCAACAAAATCCTTGGGGATGCTCACCTCAATGGAGCTGGACTTGCACAGCACAGGAACTGCAAGAAAAAGCCACCAAGAATAATGATCATTACTGAATATTATTAACAAGAAAGGAAGGAATAGGTTGCATTTGTGACAAGCCTGTGCTTTACTTCCATGTCCACTGTTCCCAGATGCAGCGTTTTACTAGTCTAAAACCATCTTGTTTGATTTATCAGTGAAATGGTAGAATTTCATCTTTTTAGATTCTCCTCAAAGCTCTTCATCTTATTTGCAATGGCAAAGTGGCACCCAGAAACCAAAGGGCTGTACATTATGTGCATAACCTAAAATTTCTGGCATCCAGTCATGACTTTTGAATTTTTGTAGACTTATGATTACAGAATGCTAGTGAGAGTTCTTCCAAGTATGACTAAGGACTTTCCAGGGAAGTTAGTACCCAGTAAGGGATACTACTCCATGAGATACTCTCAGTACCCATTAAGAGGTATTTGTGTGATACTTTGAAAATTGGGAAAGTAGTCTTGTACTTAGTGCAATCTAAGACTGCCCACATGAAGAAGCAGTGCATCTTTCAGCCCAGTAAATCCATCCACACTGAAATCCAAGTTGCTAGACTTAGACTATTACCAACACCCAAACTACCTAAGTTAAAGCTAGCATGGATATCTCTACAGCACACAGCAGTCTGTCATGTAGACATATTTAGTAGTATTTTTACTTCTCTCTATTTTATGACAGGGTGCTTTTAAGTGGAGCATGATGGCTCTTTCCTCTTCTGTTTCCTTCACCCTAAACTTCCCCTTGCTCCAATCCATGATTACCTTCAATTTCCTCTATAGCAATGGTCCTCAATCTTTTTTGTACCAGGACCCATTTGTAAACATTGACGGCCAGTCCCGACCCCGTACCCATCACTCCTGACCCACTGCCCCCTGTTCCTAGGCCCCAACTCTCAGTGTGTGTGTGTGGGGCATGGGGGCCCCCAAGCAGCCCCTTGTAGGCTGGAACTCTGTCAGCTTGCAAGGGAAAAACCATGGTTTTCCACATTTTTCTCCTTTAAAGGAGACTCCATTTTTAAAGTTCGTTGATCCATTTTTAAAGTTTGTTCGTAACCTTTTCATATATTTTTGTGGTCCAGTTTAGGGTCGCTACCCTTGGGTTGAGAAACACTGCTCTATGGCACACTGGAATCAAGTAGCTCAAACAACTTTCATGCTGGCCAGGTCAGCTAAAAAAGACAAAATTTGGGAGAACCGTTTTTTTTTTTTATGGAAGGGTCTCAATTGGTTCTTTTTCATATTACACATGTTTACTGAAGACCTGAATGATACAATTACCTCCACAACATTCAGGAACCCCTCCTGCCGTCTATGTACTGTATTTACCTCAATCTAAGATGACCCTGAATTTAAGATGATCTCCAAATAATTAGATTTTATACCTGGAAAATTTATAAATTTGCTATAATTTTCTAGGTATAGAATCTAACTATTGGAGGGTTGTCTTTAATTCATCCCCCCTGCCCCTCCTCTCCCCCCTAGCCCTACTGCTGCAAGGGGGCAGGCAGTGGAGGGTCACATAGTATAGGGAGGTCAAACAGCTTGCCTCCTCCTTTTTCCTGCCCACCTGCCACTTCTGCACTCTGCCTGCCTCCCTGCAGGCCTCCACTTTCACCTCAGCCTCTGCTCCCCGCATCCTGCCCCGCTTACCCTTGCTCTACTCCAGCAAGCTCTGCCCCTGTTCTAGCTTGGGGCACAGAGCATAGCCCCAGCCCAGCCCAGCCCCTGTAGAAGCCATGCAGATTGTGTGTCACGCTACAGGATGAGGCTGGGGCACACATACACTACTGCCCTCACATTTAATTCTAAGATGAGGGGCCTTTCCCCCATGTTAAATAGGTAAAAAAAACTCATCTTAGAATTGAGTATATATAGTAATTGACATGGATTTTGCCAGAATCCAAGCAAAAATGTTCCTTAACAATCTATACGAGTCTTTATGCAATATCCAGAATGTGTTGTGACAAGCATTGGAAAGATGCACAATTAGCTTTCTACAGGTGTCCAGCCTCAATGGATGTATGCAGAAAAGGTGTTAGAATCAATACTTAAATGTCCTAAACTTGGCAATAATAAGTCAGCTCATTCTACCTAAATCCAGTGGGGACATCAGGGATGTCAACTTTACTTTTCAGAACACTAAAAAGTTCCCTATGAAAGGAAAACCTGGGAAAAAGAAGTAGAGATTGGTCAGGGGGGAAATGGAGGATGAGACCTTACTTAGATGATTTCAATAAAAATAACTGAAATATAAATAGTAAACATAAGGAACCCACTTTGCACCTGGATGGATTTAGGAGGAAGCTTTCTGGTTCTTACTCAGTGATCAGATTTTGCCACTTAGGCAGAAAACTAACAATTGTGAATTACTGTTGGAGGAAAAACCTTGGATTTAAATACCAGGAGAAAGCATTTAACAAATTCACTCATTTAGCAATCTCAAAAAATAGTTAAAAATGTTTCCTAAACTTCAAACTCCACACTATTTACCTCCTTTTAATGTCAAGCTTATTAATTTGAAGATGAGGAATTCTTGTAACAAGCATCACTAAAGTGTAATTTCTTTCCACAATTCCATTATAGAAACTGAAGTGCTTTGAACACCCAATGCACC